GGATAACCAAATCACAAAGGAGCTGCTCATGGCAGAGGGCACTCGCAATTAGGATTGTGCACTGGCCCAGAAAACGCGCGCGCGCTCTCTCTCTCTCTCTCAAGAGGTGCCCTAAATCCGGACCGGCCTCTCTCCACCCCCCTCCCTGTCCATTGGGTCCATAAACACAGTCCCCCCCCCCCCCCCCCCCCCCCCCTCTTTAGTGTGTACCTTGCTCGTGACAGCGTTTGTTTTCATTGCTGATGGGAAGTGCTTTGTACGAGTTCAGGTTAATGTGTATAAGAATGTTCCAAACTTAGAAAGAAGCTCGTGGGTGTATTATATATCCATTCTCTATTCTCTATGCTTGTGAAACGTGGACCCCTCTAATGAAACATCTGCGCCGGTGAGAAACATTCGGGCTGGCCTGCCTACTACCCATACTGAGTTTAACCAAGCTGCATTGTTTGAGGAGCTCACAATCCTTGAAATATCTGGACACACTCCCATCAGTGAGCTCCTCCGGCAGGCAAGGCTGCGTTCGCTGGGTCATGCCCAGTCACCGCGTGCTCAAGCAGCTTCCGTTTGTCCGCATAGAGGGGGCTAAACCGGTAACGCATGGGCTGGAGAAGATATGGAGCTATACGGTTGGGGAGGATGTGGAGCTGAGTAGACTTGCCGACAACTGGTACCAGCGGTGTCAAGATCGGTCTCCATGGAGGAGGCTCGCGAAGGACTCTACTGGGCAGTTCAAGGCAGTCGCCCTCCAACAACAACTGAGGGCAGAGGAGCGACGCTCACATCAATGAGCGGAGCGCAGGGCTGATAAAATGCATCAAGTTGGCACAATAGGGGATACAGCTGGTGCATCTGCCAGTCATCTCAATCAGCCAAGCCATGGCACCTGGGTCTGTCCCGCGACCTCCTGTCAGCGAGCCTTCGACACTTCACGTGGCCTCAAAGTGCACCTAGCCTGGCACAGGCGCCGTGGCGACGTTACCCTCACTTCGTGGCGGGTATTGGTAGCGGTTAGCGTGACGATTATCTGAACCGGTCCTAGGCCTGCTCCCCTAGGTCGACTCAGCCTCAAATGAGTACCTGGCGCGGTGTGTTAAAATCGCCACTTTGGAGACAAAGGCGGCCGAGCGTGGTGGTGGTCACCCACCTCCTCGTGTTCCTTCATAGGTGCTCGCGAACAGCATTTGCCCCAACAGTCTGTTAAGGTTATACGGGGAATCTTTGTGTGTATATATATACACAAGTTTCCCCATATACCGAATTCTCAGGATTATAAGACTCTGTGGAAAGTAAGTCAGCCCCCAAACGTGTGTGTCTGATGTAAATAGAGTTATGCAAATCTGGTAGCATACACACAGACTATACCCAACTTTCATTCAGAACACGTATACGGGAGATAAAAATATGTGTGGATCTTATCGTATGGAAAAGATAATATGAGTAAATACAAATGTGTTAGTCCATCAGCCCATTAGGCTTACCAGACCAATATTGTTGAGCAACATTTGTCTAAACGAGCAAACGCTAGACCGGTTTCTTCGACCTTATGTGTCTCATCATCAATGTCAGGCTCGTTAAAACACATTTCAACTGGATTTAATATATGGTATTGGCAACACACACTTCATATAAACTACTGGCTGAAACTCTCGATGAACCAATCCACCCCGCTCCTGCACACAAGCTAAAGTCATCGCTCCATCTCTACACTTGGTGACCTATCTTCGTTAAAACAAGTTAAAGGATTACAGATATTGTAAGGAATGTGGGCTGTGAGCCAGTCAGATGGCATATTGGTTCGAGTGGGCTTTCCTTGTGACCAAATTAAAAACACATGAAACTCATTCATTTTCCCAAACAATTAATCGACCTGACCACATTGCATTTACTTGTGTCTTTTGTTTTCAGATACACACAGTGTTTTGTAAGGGACACACATCAATGCACCTTTGACCACACTGCTAACAACCGGCAGGCCAGGTTGTTAACAGATCAAGCCAGATCGTCATAGCGCTCCGTGCGTAACTCAAGATAAGAGTCTTGGGAACATCACAAGGGCCGGATAAAGTCTGCCTGAGAACCAAACGGGAAGAGGCAGTACACAGAAAACAATGGCCAATTTAAACATCTGCACCGAGGTTTCGTAATCAGAAATGAATGATTAATTTGAGAGATAAGAGATGAGTGGGTTGTTTTTTTATGTAGCCAGTAGACTTTCATACCCATTCCGGGTGCTCGTTTTTTTAAGGCTGAGTCGACTTAGGAGAATGCCCAGAACCTGTTTTGATATTCGTCACCGATGTTAGCTGTGAGAGGGAATCGAACTCGGTTCGTCGGGGTTGGTAGCACAACGCGCTAACGACTGCGCCACCGCTCCCCATACGCATACGAAATAAAATATCCCCTGTATAGACTTCACAGACTTTCGGTAAAGTCACGTAGGTAAAAAAAATTGCAGTAATTTTGCTGTGCTTTTTTTACACCTGATGACGGAAGCTTGTGTTGCCTCCAAAACGTCGTGATTTAATTTAGTTGTTTTCATTTTTGTTTAATCTTATTACATTTTTAATAAATTGTTTACCTACGTGACTTTATCGAAAGAACCAAAGAGTATGGATCCTTGCAGTCACGAAAACTTCAAATCTAGAACTTCACAGACTGTTGGGGCAAGTGCTGTTAGCGTGCACCTCTGGAGGCCGGAAATCTACACGAGGGGGTGGGTCCACAGCGCCATAACCTAGCCCATTTGTCTCCAAAGTCACGATGTTTATGCATCGCACCGGATACACATTTGAGGCTGAATCAAACTCGGGGAGGCCCAGAACCGGTTCAGGAAATCGTCACTGGTGTTGACCGTGAGCGCAACGCGCTAACCACTTCGCCACCGCTCCCCACTCGGACATACAAAGACAAAGACCCCCCGTATAACCTAAACATAATGTTGGGGCAAGTGCTGTTAGCGAGCACCTATGAAGGCCGTTCAGGAACTGCACACGAGGGGGTGGGTGGTCAGCACCACGCCCAGCCGCCTTTGTCTTCCTAATGGCGATGTTTGCACACCACATACTAAAAAACACCACGGGCAGGTGCTAAAACAAAAGAAAACCCCACATCTTAACAGCAGGCGATAAGGACGGAAGGGGGCAGGTTTACGATCGTGCAATGTTGAGCTGCGTGCCTGTAACAACTGATGGACAATGGGAGTGCCACCTAAAGTGATAAAACTCCAGTTGCGGCCAGTAGCTCCCAACCACACATTCCGTGCCGTCCACAACAGGCAAATCCATCCCTCCTGCTTGACAGGTCGTACACACAGCGGACAGTCTCAACAGAGCGTGCGTGGTGGCAGTGCCGGATTAAGGCATTGTAGGATATGTTATAAAGGGGCCCTAAACACATAAATATTAAAATACACATTTTTTTTGACTTGCGTAGTAAAGTAATTGTATTTTTTTTAACTTGCTATACAGCCAGATAATACGACAAATCGCTAACCTTAAGCACCCAGTCGTTGATAAAAGTTGAAGGCAGTATAGTACAATAGTAATAGAGCAAGTGCAGAATCACTGAACCGGAATTGATAGCTTGAAAGCATTTGGCGCGGGGTCCTTGAAAGTGCGGGGCCCGTTGCACGTGTAGTAACTACTACACGTGTAGTAACTACTACACGTGTAGTAACTACTACACGTGTAGTAACTACTACACGTGTAGTAACTACTACACGTGTAGTAGTAGCTACACGTGTAGTAGCTACTACATTTGTTGTAGCTACTACACGTGTTGTAGCTACTACACGTGTTGTAGCTACTACACGTGTTGTAGCTACTACACGTGTTGTAGCTACTACACGTGTTGTAGCTACTACACGTGTTGTAGCTACTACACGTGTTGTAGCTACAACACGTGTTGTAGCTACTACACGTGTTGTAGCTACTACACGTGTTGTAGCTACTACACGTGTTGTAGCTACTACACGTGTTGTAGCTACTACACGTGTTGTAGCTACTACACGTGTTGTAGCTACTACACGTGTTGTAGCTACTACACGTGTTGTAGCTACTACACGTGTAGTAGCTACTTGTGCTACGAGTGCGGTGAGGTGCAGGAGCGGTGGCGCAGTGGTTAGCGCGCTTCGCTACGAAACGAAACTATGTTTTATTTGAGCAGGTAATGCCCACGGAGCTGTATAGCTGATGTTTCAGAAGCGACCTGGCCACAAATTACAACTCAACGAGGTGGCTTATCATGTGGAAATGTATAGCAATAGCCACATACTCTAAACGCGCGTTGTTTCTAAATGTGGAGAGAACCAGAGGACCCAGAGAAAAATCCACGCGACCACGTGGAGAACATGAAAACTCCAAATATACAGTGGTTAGGGTTGGGACCGAATCCACGCACTTGCCCCAAAAGTCTGTTAAGGCTATTGGGAAATCTTTGCCTTTTTGTGTGTCAGTGTGTGTGTTCCCTGCTCACGGCCAATACCCAGTGACAATGATCTGAACCGGTCCTGGGCCTCCCCTAGGTCGACTCAGCCTCAAATGAGTACCTGGTGCGGTGTGTAGCAAACACCGCCACTGGGGAGACAAAGGCGGCCGGGCGTGGTGCTGGCCACCCACCCACTCGTGTGCCGTCACGGCCTTCATAGGTGCTCGCGAACAACACTTGCCCCAACAGCCTGTTGCAGGCTATACGGGGGACCTCTGTCTTTGGTGCAGGTTCGTGGAGAGGGAGGGTGGAGCAAAGGTGGGGGGAGAGGAGTGCAGGGAGAGGTGGGTGGGGTGGGGGGAGGTGGGTGGGGTGGATGAGAGGGGTGGGGTGGATGAGAGGGGTGGGGGGAGGTGGGTGGGGTGGATGAGAGGGGTGGGGGGAGGTGGGTGGGGTGGATGAGAGGGGTGGGGTGGATGAGAGGGGTGGGGTGGATGAGAGGGGTGGGGGGAGGTGGGTGGGGTGGATGAGAGGGGTGGGGTGGATGAGAGGGGTGTGTTGCAGAGTCTATATGAGAACTTACGCATCCCGAGAGAAGTTGAGCAGTGGGGTCGCAAGTGTGTGTGCGTGTTCTTTTATGAAATTTAGAACAGAGCCGCGTGCGTTAACCTGCACAGCAGCCCCCCTTTGTTAATCCACTGCCTGCTGTGGACGAAGGCGTCGCACGTGTGAGTTTGCATGACCATACTTCACCATGCTGGTCGGTGCGGGTTGATGGAGGTGGAGGGGAGGACGCATTGACCGGGTGAGTGCAGCAGCGCCCATAATAATAATTATTATTATACGAGCTGTGTGTAAGCAACACATTCGGTCGCCTATTGCAGTTTATCTGTACACCGCACTAACAAATTAACGTGTAAATATGAGTATATCCAGACATACACAACACCTTTTAAATGTAAAATTGTACCATAAACAGTAGCGCATCATTTATACACATGTCATACATATTTTACGCATTACACACACGCACACGTACATATGCATATATTATATATACGCATAGTGCACATACACATTGCAGACGCATATAAGTGTTGATGTCACTACACATGCACACACAGTGTATAATATAATCACCCTTTGCACGTGTTCTGAAATGCACTGCTCAAATATACTTCGATGTAAAGAAGCATGTTTTTCATGAATGTCCAGTCATACACAGAATTATAACTTATAATACACACACACACTTAGTAAAAACCAGGGGTTTGTCAGGCTATTGCGTGATCCTCTAGAACGCGTGGACCACGCGCGAAGGCAGAGTGACGTTTCACTTTGACAACTGAACACGCACATTCACACAGCGTGGCCCTAAACAAGTGGCAAAAACAACAACAACAACAACCTCACGCACACTCCATCCCATTCTTTCGGTGACATTGCCCAAAAAGAAGAAAACAAGATTAGAAATAGTCGGCGACGTTTCGGACGATGGGCCTTCCTCCGTAGCAGAGAGCTAAGCGATGCCCGAGAGGGTGACAGAGAGATGCACGACAGCTTTGACATCTCACGTATGCTGACATCTCACGTGTGCGCACACTCACACACTCACAAGCTGAGACTGATCATCTGTGAGCGTGCTGTATGCGATCAGCGTATTACAGACCAGCAGTCGGGTGCGTCATATCGACAAGCTTGTACGTACACGTATGGCGTGTGTGTATATAGGGCTAAAGTAGTGAATTATTTGTCTTTTGTCAACGTGACACTTTTTTTTTGCTGATTGGCCGTGTCGGGTGGTGGAGGGTTACGACACATTTATAAATAACGCGATCTAACCCCAAAACCTTTATTATGAATAATATTGGTCGCGAAAGCCTACGTGTTAAACTGTATATATAGCTATCTGTAGACTAGGGTGTATGTGTGTATATGTGGCTATCTGTAGACTAGGGTGTATGTGTGTGTGTATATATATGTGGCTATCTATCTGTAGACTAGGGTGTGTGTGTGTGGGACACACGATGCCATGAGCCTGCCCGGCGCCGTGGTGTTGATCATCGGAATCGCTATCTGGTGGATGTCGCGCGTGGTGCTGCTGGTGGTGGCCACTGGAGGAGGAGGACGAGGAAGAGACTTCACGGCACAGGACATCGTTCAGCTTTATCCAGCCAGTGAGTGTGCATCGCCGGCACGATCACACATTATTGTCATCTTTAAAACTGCTCTTTGTGTGTGTTTTAGTTTGTCGTCCTTCTCCCCCCCCCACCACCCGGCACCTCCGATTAGCACGGTTGGCTACGTACGGTGCGACAGAAGTTCAGCATACACACATTCATCATCAGTAGCATGATGATGATAACAATTAACTGCAATATTATAATTTTATCAAATTGTTTGGTGATGCTGCTGCTTTGGAACACAACAACAATAAAACGCTGCCTTAAAATACACAATTTAGGCGACGTTTCGGGCAATGGCCCTTCAGAGCAAATACATAATGCAATTGTATTTTTTCTTTCTAAGGCAGAAGTTATTTTTTTACAATTTGCAGAAGTTATTTTCTACAATTGTAAAAACAAATACTCACGACCGGTGGTGTTAAGTGCAGTCGCCAACCCACATTGACGCTCTCTACCGCCTGTGTTCACGTTCTACAACGAAGGGTCGTTGCCTAAAACGTCACCGCTTTTATACAAGAGTGACGCTGCACGTGGAAATCATTCAGCTTATTTCGGTCACCATGTTCATCACGAGCCATTGCACTTGTAACCTCGGTATGAGTCGATACTGTTGCTCACAAATGCAGTGGAGTGTTCATGATCAATAACATCGACTGTCGTAATCGTCAGGATCATCAACAATCATGATCAGTCGTAATTAAAGGTCTTCATTGTTATACGTAGGCTTTAACAACCAATTTGGTTGGCTACATATGGTGCAAAAGAAGTTTAACTTACATTCATACTAATATACACTACACTATACACTACAGCATACATTACACACTGTACACTCCACTATACATTACTAAATTGAAAACTAATTTATTTTAACGCTGCTTGTTGTATTTAGTTTGTTGTCCTTCCCCACACCTCCGTTGAGCACGGTTGGCTATGTCCGGTGTGAAAGAAGTTCTACGTATGTGTGTAAGACATAATGTAAAAAAAAAACCTCTGAGAACTGAGCTTTTGTTCTAATCTCAAGCGCAAGGTCGTGTAAAATGCAAAAAAAGTCAAATCAAATACCGCATTTGTCCAACAAAAGAGAGTTTGATTTGATTGGCTCCGTTGGGCGGTGGGACATTTTAGTTATAACATACCTAGACGATCTAACCCCAAAATAAACTAATTGTAAATGGTAGAAATCGTCAGTTATCAAAATAATTTCATCACCATCAATCGTGATGATCGTTATTATCGTGAATATCAACACCATCAATGATGAGTTTCACTGGCAGTATCATCATTACAAGAATTGACAATCAGCAATTAACAATTATGAATTACTACCATCAACAATTATCATCAGCATAAATTGCTATGTCCATCAACAATAATAAATTATTGTCATCATCATGTCCTGGTGAGTGCCCACTGTGATACCAAGTGTCTCTTTCAAGAGACCTGGGTAAAAAAAATAGTTATAACTATAATAAAGTTGTAACTATATTCTTAGCTCTTTCGGCAAAGTCACGTTGAAGGGAAACAATAAAATAATAAAATATATATAAAACAATAAAAATTCTCACGACGTTTCGACCATAACACAAACGGTCGTCATCAGGTGTGAAAAGCAACGGCAAGAAACATTTGAAAGAAGTGTCGGTTTGCATTAATTCATTTTTAAACGGCGTATTTATTTATTTATAAAAACGTCAGCGCCACGCGCAGCGATTTGGCAGATTATTTAGAAGGACTAGTCCATCTATGTTCTGAAAAGAGGAGGGGGGAGACGAAAAATTTAAGTATGTTATCTGAAAGCCACCGTAAGCGTGAAAAATCAATTAAGACCTGAAATGGTTTATCAAATCCTTCCAATGATTGCTAAGCCAGAATCCATCTTCTCGGTTGAAATTGTCTCTGTGCTTGTATATGTGGATAGCCTCATGAACGAATCTCTCATGGTAGCTAGATGGCTTACAAAGAACCTCTGTCTTGGAAAAGTCAATATCATGTGAGCCTACTGAATTATAACAATGATCTGCCACGGCCGAGGTGTTGGTCCTACCGTGTTTAAGGTCTGCTTTGTGTTCACGAATACAGTCCGAGACATGGCGTTTGGTTTCTCCAATGTAACTACTACCACAGAGGCAACTTAGTTTGTAGACACCAGGGTACTGTATGTCCGGAATCACATCTTTTACAGACGGAACCAGATCACGGATTTTATGTAAAAAGCAGACCAACACCTCGGCCGTGGCAGATCACTGTTATAATTCAGTAGGCTCACATGACATTGACTTTTCCAAGACAGAGGTTCTTTGTAAGCCATCTGGCTACCATGAGAGATTCGTTCATGAGGCTATCCACATATACAAGCACAGAGACAATTTCAACCGAGAAGATGGAATCTGGCTTAGCAATCATTGGAAGGATTTGATAAACCATTTCAGGTCTTAATTGATTGTTCACGCTTACGGTGGCTTTCAGACAGCATACTTACATTTTTCGTCTCCCCCCTCCTCTTTTCAGAACATAGATGGACTAGTCCTTCTAAATAAACTGCCAAATCGCTGCGCGTGGCGCTCACGTTTTTTATAAATAAATAAGCACACCGCCGGGAAATTAATTAATTAATACAAACCGACACTTCTTTCAAACGTTTCTTGCCGTTGGCTTTCACACCTGATGACGACCGTTTGTGTTATGGTCGAAACGTCGTGAACATTTTTATTGTTTTATATGTATTTTATTATTTTATTGTTTCCCTTCAACGTGATTTTACCGAAAGAGCTAAGAATATGAATTACTGCAGTCACGAAAGCTTTAAATCAAAATTTATAACTATGATAAAGTTATAACTACTATCAGTTTAACACGTAGTAGGCTTTCGCGAAACACAGCCAACTAGTAAGGGTTGTCACGTAAACAGAAAATGCCAATTCGTCACAAGTACAGCACACCGGCGTGTTGCAGAGCAAAGCCACAACATTTTCAACCGGAGTACGACGTTTCGCCAGTAATTACAACTGGCTTCATCAGGCGACAGCCAGCTTTGTGGAGAAATCCTCCTGTTTCGGTCCTGAAATAGAGGAGTAGATGTGATGACATCACTTGCGTACTCTACTTGCGCGAAGTGGGGGGGTGATTAATGAATGCGTATAAATTACTATGGGTATCCATTGCCGGTGAGGTTATTTATATGGTAATTCAACATACATTATAAATACTATATTTACGTAAATTGTGTAATTAACCGCTTAACCACGACCACAGTTGTATAACCATCCGTGGCTTGCTGATGAGTGATAAGAACACACCAACCTGGGGAAAAGTCTTTTCTTCTTCTTTGGTTCTTTCGGTAAAGTCACGTAGAATGAGAATAAAATAATAAAATAAAATTACACAATAAAATTCTCACGACGTTTCGGCCACAACACAAGTGGCCTTCTTCAGGTGAAAGGAACAAACCTGTCGGGACGACAGAGCTTCAATGAACGCTGTTAAGATTCGCAGCGTCTTTTAAGCTGGTTGAGAGAAGTAAGCTTAAAAGACGCTGCGAATCTTAACAGCGTTCATTGAAACTCTGTCGTCCCGACAGGTTTGTTCCTTTCACCTGAAGAAGGCCACTTGTGTTGTGGCCGAAACGTCGTGAGAATTTTATTGTGTTATTTTATTTTATTATTTTATTCTCATTCTACGTGACTTTACCGAAAGAATTTCGATTTAAAGCTTTCGTGACTGCAAGGATTAATCTTCTTTGGTTCTTTCGGTAAAGTCACGAAGAATGAGAATAAAATAATAAATTGATAAAATAAGATAACACAATAATATTCTCACGACGTTTCGGCCACAACACAAGCAGCCTTCATCAGGTGAAGGGACGAGACTGTTTGGAGGACAGCGCTGGAGTGAAAAAGCCACGCTCAGATCACGACCTTTAAGCTGTGTGAGAAGAAACAAAGCGCCACACGGATAGCTACGGGTCCCGTTGAGACGGACGAGTTCATCCATGGTCGGAACAGAGGAGGGGGAGAGAGACAGCTGCGAGGCGCTGTTATACTCCATGTTGTAAACCATACCATTAACCGTGGTGTGAGAGGTATTAAGAGTCAATGCCAGCGAAAGAGCTGCGGTCTTAGAGTCGCGGCATCTCTTATTTTATCAATTTACCGAAAGAACCAAAGAAGATTAATCCTTGCAGTCACGAAAGCTTTAAAAAGCAAAGTCTTTTGTTTGACAGATATATAACGTGTCGAAGATTAACTGCTACAGCCAGCCAGTTGGGGCCTGGCTGTGGGTTTGTGGACCCATCTCATAATCACAAGGTTTGGATTTCAAATCTGCCTTGGGGGTTTAACCCAGCCAATCATGCCACTGGAAGCAATAAAACACTGCACCTCATTTGTGGGATGTTAACAGCAGTTGCAAAAAAAACTACCTCTCGTCATGGTAATGTGGAATTCCCACCATTGAATTGCTCTACCGATGGATGGATGTGTGGGGCGGCACTCACCTCCTGTTTTTCAGGCCGAGGAGTGGTAGGAATTCCACATGCCTACGGTGGTGGGTGAGTCTATCCATGCAGCAGTCGTTTTTAACTTTCCACGAAGTGATACTCAGAGAGGGATGAAGTGCAGAGTCGAGCCCCGGCCAGGGTGTGGATTGGCACCTTGCTATCGAGTTATTGTTCTAACGACTGCCGCGTTACGGTTTACATTTATCAAGCTTGTAAATTTAATAAGCTAACAATTCAGAGGGGGGGGGGGTGGTGGGGGCGGGCATTGTACTGCCATGCAAAGTTTTACGCATTAAATATTCCAAGTTTTGCCCTCTACTGTGTCGACCAGAGGTCACTTGAAGGGATTTCAGAGGTAGCTCTGTAATATCTGCTTCCGTGGGTCGTTCGTGAACGGTTTCACTGTCCTATGGGAGTTCCTTCCGAGTGGATACTTCGTCTCGTGACGTGACAGGAGAATACACCGTCACGCGAACTCCTGGTCATCCTCGCAGCAGCAGCAGCAGCAGCATCGTCTTCTGGCTGCTGGCCACCGAACACAGACGGTGGTCACCAAATCGCGCGCTTTGAGATGCGCTTCTGCGGCCGTCTGGAACGCTCTTCCTTCCGATATTAGGAAGCCACTGGAGCCATGCACTTTTAAATCTAGATTCAAAACTCACTTCTTCAGAACTGCTTTTTGTGTTTAGTTTGTTGTCCTTCTTCCACACCTCCCGGTTAGCACGGTTTGGCTACGTACGCCGCGGAAGACGTTAAACAGACCGCTGTGACAATTGCACTAATGCATTACATGTCACTCGTTCAAACTGCACGCCTGATTGGAGACTGTTTCAACAACAACAACAAGCGAGCCCAGTAATGGGTTTCCAAAAGACAAACGAACAATAAATTTTAAGACGGGGGGGGGGGATGGGGAAAAAAAATCACCGTTAAGTTACTGCAGGAGGTTGTTCTGGGGTCAGGGTCAGGATTAGGCCTGACCCCTTCTTAATGCCACAATCACACGTTTGGCTTTGTGCTCATGTTCATTAATCACCGCGCGATGTGCAAACAATTTACGGACTGGGCTGCTGACAGTTTTAGCTTCGGGCAAATACAACGGACAAGTCGCGTAAAACTTTGGAGAGTCCAAAGTAATTTCACGCTCCATCGCCGTCGCGAGCGAGGTGCTCCCCGCTCTGTTCGAAACACAGAGGGATGCCTCGGATTCATGATTGCTGTGTCGAACCCAGTTCATCCTAACGGCATTGCACTTTTGCTCATGATGCCTGCGTTCGTATGGGCAATGCATGGACATTGGTCTCTGTCAGCACATTATTACTTGTGTTTTTTTTACCCGGCTGACTTTTTTTTTAACTTTGATCAGCTGGAGAGGACATTTCACTCGCAGTTTTCCCATACAACATTTTTTTTTAAAGAAAGCTCTGAATCTTCTTTGGTTCTTTCGGTAAAGTCACGTAGAATGAGAATAAAATAACACAATAATATTCTCACGACGTTTCGGCCACAACACAAGCGGCCTTCATCAGGTGAAGGGGACGAGACTGTCTGGAGGACAGCGCTGGAGTGAAAAAGCTTTTTCACTCCAGCGCTGTCACTCCAACGCTGTCCTCCAGACAGTCTCGTCCCTTCACCTGATGAAGGCCGCTTGTGTTGTGGCCGAAACGTCGTGAGAATATTATTGTGTTATTTTATTTTATCAATTTATTATTTTATTCTCATTCTACGTGACTTTACTGAAAGAACCAAAGAAGATGAATCCTTGCAGTCACGAAAGCTTTAAATCGAAAGCTCTGAATGTTTACGTAGAACTCTTTTTGTACAACAACAGTCTTGGGCACAATCAAGGCATTGATGTAGCGGAGCCACACTGCCTTAATGATGCCCAGTTGAGCTGGAATTTATATGACACGGTTGGCTACAATTGTGGCAGCAAGGTGACGAGATGTTAACGACCTCACCTGGTATGCAGGAGGTCGTGTGTCCAATCCCGACTCTGACGCCTGTATATTGGGAGTGTGCATGTTCTCTCCATGGTCGCGTGGATTTTTCTCCGGGTCTTTCCTCCAGGTTGTCCCTCTACATTTAGAACCAACGTGCGTTTTAGAGGATTTGGCTGCTATACATTTCCACATGGTGATAAGCCACATCGTTGAGCCATTATTTGTGAAAGCCAGGTCGTTTTTGCAAAATAGCTATATAGCTCAGTGGGCCTTACCTGGTAACATTGAAATGGTTTAGTTTAGTTCAGCACAGTTGGCTTTGTACGGTGCGAAAGAAGTTCCACATTCGTACAGACACCTTTCTAAAACGGACATGTGAAAATGGCAGACTCCCCAAGACTTTTGGACCGGCAGAGCAAAGCCATATAATCGTGCCCTGGCAAGGTGGCTGAGTGGTGTGGGTTTAACCCAGTCTGGAAATAACCCCAACATAATTTTGCACGGGGGCCTTGTGATACCTGCACTTAAGGAATAAAGCCCGTGCCAATGGAAATACCAATAAGGGCTACTCTAATGGGCCATTTGGCTCCTCATCATAGGCTCCAGTTTGCTCGCTGCCAAATATTTCTCACTCGTATTTTTTCGCGCTGTCCATCTAGGGATGTCCGCACACGTGAATGTGTGTTTATTGCAACGGTTCTCTTTGCAATGCATCCCTTTTCTACGTCACATTCGTCGGTGTTTTTATTTTATTTATAAACAATGTATTGCAATTGTGTTATCGGCATCATGTCATATGGCTGCAGAAGATGTTTTTCATAGGACTTCTGAAAAAATAATCCTTCATGTTGTCCCTTTTGATACTCGCATGTAGCAGGGGGGTCTCGCTTTCCCACACGCTCTGCTGTGAGGTTTTATGGCTCATCTAAGCATGCTGACACTTTCTTTTTTCTTACTTTTGACTCCGACTGTTGGAAGAGTAGACCAACATACTGAGGAGGGCTACTCCGTTGCGGTGGCTCTTCTGCCAGAAGCGACGTGAGCAAAGTAAAACGAAACTGCATTTTCAAACGTGTTTATTGCCACCCCTCTCAACCCCCGCCATCTCTTCGCACACCAGCAACCCCATTTCCTGGTGGCTTCAAATGCTTCACGTGTGAAGATGCCCGTGACAATTACGATTGCAATCGCTGGGCCCCGGATGTCTTCTGCCCACGAGGTGAGACTCGGTTGCATCGATGAACATAAACATGCCATCATCGTCGTCGTCGTCGCCACCATGAGCCGTGATCAATCCACGGCCGGATGAAGGCCTCCCCGAGAGGTCACCATGTCTTGCGATCCTACGGTGTGACAAAATCCAGCCGCACACGAGCGGATTGCATCGATCCGTCTCAATGGTCGACATCCTCTGTAGCGAAGTTCCCACCCTAGGCTGCCACTCTGTCGCTATCACCGTAGTGTGGGTGACCCATAGGGTGAACGCCCATCGTTATCTGTTGCGTGTAGTCACTTTAAGATGTTATCTTGTTCATGTTTTTGTTTTGTTACGGTTGCACCCGAGTCAAGAGCCGCATGGCTCACAGGGTTATACCTAAGAAATGAAACTGAAAACTTTAAAAAACCGTAGTACGTGGCACCCCATATACACGGAGCGATGGTCGTTCACCCTATGGGGTTGCTCTGCATCCTTTGCTTATCGCACAAGAGACACGGGCAACATTCTCTTTGCAGGGTACGTGGGGCTTCGCCGTAATAACTCTCTGACCCACCTCGACTGGACATCTGTGAAATAAGAGCTTCGTAGCTCATCAGATTCCTCCAGGATAAATGAAGATTCGGATGACGTAACGATGGAGCTTGGATCAAACCTTTTCAATATCTGTCCAGATGTGCACCTCTTCGTATGCACGGAATATGATCATCGTTAAGAGGAGGAACATCACTTGCTATGAGTGTGGCTTGTGTGAAGCATACGGCACGTGTGTTGTGTGTGAGCTGTGCGTATGGGATGTAGGTCGACTCAGCCTCAAATGAGTACCTGGTGCGGTGGTGTGTAAACATCGCCACTGGGGAGACAAAGGCGGCCGAGCGTGGTGCTGGCCACCCACCCGCCCCCTCGTGTCTCCTGCCGGCCTTCATAGGTGCTCGCTAACAGCACTTGTCCCAACAGTCTATTGAGGCTATACGGGGGATCTTTGTCTTGTAAGGGATGTGGGGAGCGGTGGCGTAGCGGTTAGTGCGCTGCGCTACAAACCCGGCGTCCCGAGTTCGATTCCCGCTCGCGGCCACCACCGCCAGCGATGATTATCTGAACCGGTCCTGGGCCCTCCCCTAGGTCGACTCGGCCTCAAACGAGCACCCGGCGTGGCGTGTAGTGAACACCGCGCCTCCGCGCTAATCGGAGGTGCGGGAGGAGGGAAGGACAACCGTCGGCAAACGCACCCGTGCGACGTGTGTGCCGGCACGCAGGCTCGCGCTACTGCTACACGCGCCACCTCATGGACGGGCTCGGCGCCAGCGAGTCGGTCACCAAGCGTTGTGTGGCCGTGCGTGACTGCGTCGGGGCCACGGGGTGCCGGACGCTCGCCGACGCGCGCCGCACGGTAAGCGAGCCGGCCAACCCCCAGTCTCGCCCGGGGCTCGCGGCCGAGGCTGGTTAAAACTTTTCCTTTAATAGTGATGGTGATAATAATAATAATAAGTGGAATAAGTAAATAGGCTTTCTCGACCGATATTATCCATAATACAATTTTTTTTTTTGGGTTAGATCGCGTAAATATATAAATGTGTCGTTAAATCTGCCAACCATCCGACACCGCCAACTAGTAACGTGATAAACCTTACTAATTAGCTGTGTCGGGTGGTGTTCGGGTTTAATGGCACATTTATATATTTTACGCGATATGACCCAAAAAAAACTGTAATTATGGATAAGAAGAACGATTTACATTTGTTAAGTGGCGCATTGCATCCGTAGATGTGCCGTTTTAGGGAAAGCCAGGAGATGAACGGAACCTGTGGGGTAAACGGCCAAAACTAGGCGTAGGGTGAAGGCGAGTGTCTAAAGAGGTGAGTTTTGAAGGCAGACTTAATATATTGCTTTGGCGGGTCACAAGGGTTGCCACCCGTCCTGGGTTTCCCGGGATCGTCCTGTTGTTGTCCTGAGAAATCTCCGAGTTGTCCCGAGGACATTAAATGTCGCATATTTTTTCCGTGAAGTAGTCCTTTCCCCCCCCCCCCCCCCCCCAACTTTTCTGGTCTAGGGAGATATTCTTCTGCCCGTGATACGTCCCATTTTCCTTTTGTACTGGAGAGGTGGCAGCCGTAGCTATGATGGCTCGTGCAGGCTTCACTCTTAGGAAATGAACGTCAACTTTGGAAACTTTGTCCGTGTTGCCCGATCCATGTGCTCCTCTTTCTGTCGGGGGGGGGGGGGGGGGGGGGGGGCGGGGGGTAATTCCAAGCGTGTTCTTCTCTAGCTTCTTTGCACACTTTTCGCCATGTTCCTTCGTCAATCTTTTTTTTCTCTCATCCGTATGTCGTAGCGGGTGAACCACGTTCGGTCGGAACCTTCTGGGGGCCAACGGTGGCTATCGTTTCTCTTCGACGTTAAGTTCGCGTTTTTCGTCTGCCGCACTCCCCGTCAGGAGTGCGTTTCGTGCTGCGAAGGAAACATTTGCAACCTCCCCGTCCCACGCAACCACTCGGACGCGGTCTTCTCCACCGAGATTCCCGTGTGGCCGTCTGGAGCTTCGTCGTGTCACTCGGCACGCTGGCCGGTGCTCTGCGCGCTCCTCAGTGCGCTGATGCTGCCAGCGTGAGGATTGGCACACCACGCTGGCCGGAACTGCTGATACTGCCAGCGAGAGGACCGGCACCACGCTGGCCGGTGCTGCCGCCGACGCTGACAGCGTAAAGACTGGCACCACGCTGGTGCCCAACGTGAGGCGTACGCATGCAAGGGCCAGCGGCGGGACGATGGACAAAACCGATTGGGCGTTCGGGGAGCAAGAGGCCGACGGCGATGTGGCGTTCTCGCTCATCCGGGGCCACGTGCTGCAAGTTGCCGTTTTGCTGGTGTGACTTTACGACGCGCACGCAACAACAGCCCTTTACCGCTCCACTGCCGGATGGCAGCCCGTTCAAGCTAAGCATCTCTTTTTGTTTTAAACCCAACATCAATGCTCAGAAAGATCAAAACATTACGTAAAAAAAAAAACATGAAACCAATACACAATAATTTGAATAGGAAACTTTAATCAGAATACTTATTTATACTGGAGGAATCCGATGAGCTATCAAACTCTTTTTCAAAGGTGTCGAGTAAGTGGCAGGTCAAAACGCTACAACAACAAACAAAAACACACATTTTTAGCTCTTTCGGTAAAGTCACGTTGAAGGGAAAGAGCTAAGAATATGAATTACTGCAGTCACGAAAGCTTTAAATAAAAAAAAAACACGATAGGAATTCGAAGTGTAGGCGAAGGCTGTACAAGTTTACATATCCGTTCAGGGTTTCTGTAAAGATACATTTTGGATGAAGGGTGGAAGTATAATTGAGCAACAATTACGTTCGTATTGCCCAAGTCATTGATTGAATTGCCCGTTAAAACCTCACTCAGGCAGAGATGCACTATTGTCACATATTGTGAGTATCATCTGTGCGTCAAGTAAAGCTCAAAACTGGCTTTGCTATTTATTTTCGGTGTTAAAAAAGTATACTCTCATTTTGTAGCAAATCAAACAAAGAGATGAAGTATGAAATATCGCGTTGTATTTAAAAAAAATTTTAGCAGACGTTATTTTTGCCCACAAAAATGTATTTATGCGAGACAATCACAAATGTCGTGGGGAGTTGCATGAAGATATCAGCAGCAGTTGGAACCTTCACGTGTCCGTTCACCCGCGTTTCCAGTTCGTGCGGATGTGATTTGCTTCATGTCGCCAATAAACCTTCAACCATTCAGAAAAATGTTTTGTAACAAACCAAAAAAAATTCGTGCACACGTGTGGATTCCGTAACGCTTCTCAATGCCCGTTTGTCATCGGAAGTATTTCATTAGCAGTGCATAACCCGACGGATGGACAGGTAGCCGTCAGAGTAAAACGCGTTTATATATGTTTTCTATTGTCATTTTATACTCCAGAGCAGTGGTTCTTCTTAACCTGGGGGTGCGAGACACGGACAGATCTTTTTTTAGAAGGTAAACCATCGAAAACACAAATTAAGCACGGGCATGTTACTGTAAGTACAGCTACTTAAAAACATAATAAAGGTGTTTGGGTTACACGACCTAACCCAACAGCCTTTATGATGTGCAACTTGTTTCATCAAACCTTCTATGTATTTATCAACACGACACATATTCTTAGCTCTTTCAGTAAAGTCACGTTGAAGGGAAACAATAGAATTATAAAATATATATAAAACAATAAAAATTCTCACGACGTTTCGACCATAACGCAAACGGTCATCATCAGGTGTGAAAAACCAACGGCAAGAAACATTTGAAAGAAGTGGCGGTTTGCATTTATTTATTTTTAAACGGTCTTAGTATTTATTTATAAAAAAAAAACGTTAGCACCACGGGCAGCGATTTGGCAGTTTATTTAGAAGGACTAGTCCATCTATGTTCTGAAAACAGGAGGTGGGAGACGAAAAATTAATATATGCTGTCTGAAAGCTACCGTAAGCGTGAACAATCAATTAAGACCTGAAATGGTTTATCAAATCCTTCCAATGATTGCTAAGCCAGAATCCATTTTATAAATAAATAAATACAAACACCGTTTAAAAATAAATAAATGCAAACCGCCACTTCTTTCAAATGTTTCTTGCCGTTGGTTTTTCACGCCTGATGATGACCGTTTGCGTTATGGTCGAAACGTCGCGAGATATTTTTTTTATTGTTTTATATATATTTTATTATTTTATTGTTTCCCTTCAACGTGACTTTACCAAAAGAGGTAAGAATATGAATTACTGCAGTCACGAAAGCTTCAAATCAAAATTTAACACGACACGTGTTTTTGTAACGGTCGAGAACCAAAGGGGTGTAAGGCCGCAGTAAAGGTTAACAAGCACTGCTCTCGACGAGACTGTGCCTCCAAATGTTGAGCAATTCATCGATCAAATTGGCTGATTTTTAAATGCAATACACGTGCCTAACGCCAACACAACCCGTATACTCACGCTCAGCTCATAGTGGACAGCCTGTGCGAGAGTTATCGTAACCCTCCTCATTATGGGATGGACGAACAGGCGCACAGAGCTAACGCACAAATTCCCCGGTCGCCCTTAGTTACAAAAGGTTAAAAAGGTCATCTTCCCACTATAATTCACGAACCATGGCTCATTGGTTTGCGTGAATGTCACTTGATAAGGCTTTACCTGTGTATAGTGTTCGGGGTGGGGGAGGGGGTGGGATTTCGCCAAATAATCACTTTTTCTACGGCCGCCTCGTCACTTTGCACGGGGATGGATTACAATCGAGTACTCGCTGCTGTCAGGAAAGCGTTAAGAGATCCCGTGGCATCGTGTGCGAGAGGAGACTGCCAGTGTCATTATATCATTGCCCAAAGCACACGAAGGAAGTTAACTGCAGGTTTTCATATTCTTGGCAATTAAAAATTTTATTTTATTTTTTATTTCATTATGTTTTATTTTTATTATTTTATCATTTCCCTTTTACGTGACTTTACCGAAGGAACTAAGAATATGAATCCCTGCAGTCACGAAAGCTTTCAATCGAAATTGAACTGCAGGTTGCCCGGCGTCGATGTTAACGCTCGCCGCTGCCACAAGACGGAGTTCTGCTAAAAGTGCGTGTGTGCTTGCACAAGGGGCGTTTACGGGGAGCGGTGGTGTAGCGGTTAGCGCGCTGCGCTACGAACCTAGCGACCTGGGTTCGATTCCCACTCACGGACAACGCCAGTGGCGATTTTCTGAACCGGTCCTGGTCCTCCCCTAGGTTAATTCAGCCTCAAATTAGTATTTGGTGCGGTGTGTAAACATTGCTACTGGGGAGACAAAGGCGGTTGGGTGTGGTGCTGGCCACCCACCACCCCCTCGTGTGCCATTCTGGCCTTCTTAGGTGCTTGCTAACGGCACTTGCCCCAACAGTCTGTTACAGGTTATATGGAGGATCTTTATCTTTGCACAAGGGATATCTATTTGGTCGCTAAAGTTTAAAATGCAACAAACTGTCAGAAGGTTGTAAAACAAAAGTATTATCGTTTTTTTGTAAAACAATAGCCACTTATTTAAAATGTTCACAATTGTATAAACGTGACACTCATTAAACAAATAATAACGAACAGTCCTGTGCCATTATTCTTCTGCGCATGTGACCCACTGTTTTGCGCAAGTCTTGAGACGCGGTTTCGATGTGGGAATCCACATCCTAAATGTGTTGAATTTAAGAGATGCCAATGGCATTTGAAGCGTGTACGGGTGAATGGGTGACTTGGGAAAATAATCCCGTCTGCCAATGAGGGATGGCGCTTTCAGATGCGCCTCTGCAGCCATCCTTCCGGTATGGGGAAGCCATTCGGAGCTACGCACTTTTAAAGCGAAATTTAAAACGAATTTCTTTAGAACTGCTTTTTGTGTTTAGTTTGTTGTCCTTCCCCCGCACCTCCGATTAGCCGCGGTTGGCTACGTACGGTGCGAAAGAAGTTCATACATACGAACACAGCATTGATGTAAGCTTGGGCTTGAATCTGAGTCTCTTGCCTGGATATAGCAAGTTTATTTCAGTACAACGAGTATAGCCTCAACCAGGTCACAACCACCACAGCAGCCGGTTGAACCAAGCTGCCCAAGAGCTTCTCGAGACATACAAAGTGTATTAAAGGCGTCTGTAGATTTTGCAGCAACGTTTCTAAGCAGAATCATAATATTTATTTATCCTGGAGGAATCCGATGAGCTATGAAGCTCTTTTTTTGCACAGATGTCCAGGAGGGGCGGGGAAGAACGTTACAACATTGAACTATACAAACACACGATAGTAGTGCAAAGGGGCCGTCCATAAATGACGTCACGCACCTGGGGGGGGGGTCAGATATTTGTGACGATGTGTGACGAGGGGGGGGGGGGGTTTGAGAAATGAGACGTCACATCAAAATGCGCTACTTTAAATAAATATAGACAACACGTTCTACTTAATTAAATAGACTTTTTAATACATGTTTTCTCCTACAACATCAGAGTGCAGCGCCACATTAAATACGCACTACAATGACAATAGTTTAAAGCGAAGCATGTTTTATTTTTTGTGGGGGGGGGGGGGCAGAGCTTTGTGACGTCATATTTTAGGGGGGGTCTACTTTTTGTGACACCGTGTGACGAAGGGGGGGGGGTGGTCAAAAATCGTCCAAAATCGCGTGACGTCATTTATGGACGGCCCCAAAGTACACGAGAGGTAAACAAATCACCCAATAACTTACAAATACAACACTAAGCCATCCCCCATTTGATTTGGCAAAACCCACTAAGGATATGACGCCTAGTTAGCATTTTGCACGGGCGAATACCAGGTGTTATAGGCTTGGTTTGTGAGAGATAGTGTTCGGTGACGCCTCGGCTAAAATAAACTCCACGTAAATTTACAGGGCGGTCCAGGTGTGTCGGGATCCCCATTGAATTCTCTAAAACGTAATACAATTTTTAAGTAAAGTTTATTTAAAACAGAAATTAATATGCAAGGGTAGAAACAAACGCATGGGGTCAATTAATTGGGGGGGCTCACAAGACATCTGAACCACCCTGTCGATCAGATTGTTGTTTTGTAATCTGTTTTTACGAATGATTTTTCAGTCGGAGCCCCCGGTGCAGAGCCTGTTGAGAATTAAAAACTGCATTTACTGTACAGTGTGGAAGGTGCTGACCACATTGTTTTAGTGGTGGCGGGGGGGGGGGGGTGACGAACCGGTTGTTTAAGGAAACTAATTGGCATGGAACCCCCCCGTGTATGAAGGGGTAATTCCAAACAGTTACGCGAGGGAGGAGGGAGCGTGGGCTGTAAACGATGTTCCGGCCAGGTGTTAGACTTAATTCCGTTCACAAATTAATCAATGAAGCAAGCCCAGCCCACGGCTCGTACGCGTGTGAGGAACTCGCTCGAGAACACGATCCACACACACGTGTGTGAAGAAGCCAAAGCAGAAAGATACCACCCGCAAGCAGGCTCAGCCCAACATCCAGCCAGCAGTAGAGAGAGAGAGAGGAGAGCTAACCAGGGAGAAACAGCCAAGCTTCATGCTGTAAGTAGCTGTGCATTACTAGCGGCTGTTTTGTCAGAT